ATATTCCGATAGTGAAAATTGCCAAATTGCCAAAGCTTAAATTAAAGACTAAAGATAAATGAAACAAAAAAATTATAAACTGGTGACAACTGTTATAAATTATAATTAATATATATATATTTGAAATTATTTTGCTCACCGCCACAGCGCAGCTCTTGGTGCAGACTTCATTACACTTATTCTGACACTTGTGTCCACAAGTAAGCTTAAGCAGGCAAGGCCTCACGCAAGGCTCGTCTTCTATTATTTTGGAACATTGCATAAAATCATAACGATGCCCGCAAGAGCGCAACTTGCTCACTAGAACGGAACACGGTCTGCAATCTTCGAAACAACGATTTTGACACGTGTGATCACTTTGACAACCGACACTTTTTTTCGTGCAGCTTTGGAAACACGCGAACTAAAAATAACGGAAAAATTTTCCAGTTTAGCAATATTTAACAATTTCTCCAATCTAAAAAAAAAATCATATTTCACCTGAAGGTGTTTATCGTGGCTACACCGTTGACCGCACGTATGACCACAACTTAGGACGCTTTCGCAATAGTGCGTACATTCGCAATCTTTGATTGATTCATGGCATGGTTTTCGCACGCGATGATTGCAATCGGGCAAAGTGACGCTTACCTTGAATATTAAAAAAAATTAAATTAAAAAATATTTTGCACATGTGATAGTACGAAACACTCACAATGACGGGACATTTGAAACGTTTGAGCTCCTCGTAGCAGGGTACATCCACAGTGTGTCCACACGGCAATGACTGCGGGATTTTAACTTTGCACGGATTGCAGCCTTCCCAACACTTTAAGAGGCATTGGTGACCTTTCGGACACTTTTCCTCGCAATTTTTCAAGCATTTGTATTTCTCGTGCTCTCGATCCAATATGTGGCAAACAGAGACGCACGAGTGCCCGCACTTCAACTCTACGTCGCATATTTTTGAACATCCACCCCTTGGACACTGTTTGAAATCGTCAGCTGTTTTCATCTGCAAAAAATACATGAAGTTGGGGTATGGTAGTTGTAAATTTTCAAGTCGATTCAACCAAAAGTTCCGTTACTTTGAAAACTTGATCAGAATGGACTTGGCATTTTACTATCAAACCATCGCCTATAGCTTCGTCCTCCTCCAACACTCGGTTTATCTTTGGCCAAATGTTGTTTTTGACAACGAGATCCCTCATGTTGCCCATGACATAAAGACCATACTTGGCACGTGATAAAGCGACGCAAACCCTGTTCTCCTCCTTCAAAAACCCAACGTTTCCCGCTCCGTTGTTGCGCACCAAGGACAACAGGATGATCTTGTTCTCCTCCCCTTGGTAATTGTCGACCGTTGTTATATTCACTTTATGGAGTAATTGATGATTGCGAACCTCCTGTGGATATGAGTCGTAATTTTTAGAGATTTTACTACTGCAAAACGAAAAAGGGCTGGGTTGAGATGAAAAATTTGACGTCATGGTACGACTAACGAATACACTTATTACGGCAAAGGACGCGAGAGGGGACATTTGGATAAGGAACTTGTACAATAGTAGGTTTGTTCGTATTTTGCGTATTTTGACGTCAAATCACGATCAGGCCCCACTGGATTTGTGTGCAACGGAAATCTAGCTTGCTGACAAAAGTTAGTCATCCAAAATTCAGTTGGAAATTAATATAATAATTGCTCAAATCTACATCAACAACCGATTAATAGAAGAAAAATTGATTTTCCAGTAAGATGGATTTATGTGCTACGAATCGGGTACTGCATATCCCCTTAAAAAATTAATATGGCCAGATTCAACTCACTTTCTTAAAAGTAAACAATTGCCCGGAGTACGTGCAAAGTATCGTGATTTCCGAAGATTCGTAGCCTTGCAGTATCAGATATTTGGCAAAAGCCAACAGGTACTTCACTTCGTGCAAGTTCATCCAAGTGTCGTCGTTGTAGGATTGTTCGCTGTTCTCGTGGTCGATGAAAAAAACATTCCTCGCCACCCCTTTGACATTCGGAAAATCCCGAACCACTTCGTGGTTGTACAATGTCGTGTATATCGACGGGGTGATCAGCTTCGAGATTTCCGGTCGCATTCGGTGCTGGTAGGCCAGCTGCAGACACTCGCCTCTGATGTTGACCATACGCTCGAACAACGACACGTTCAGGTTGTATCTGATGCCCAGTTCGTACACGGAGGCCTTGGGGCGGAGCTGCTTGTGGTCGCCGATGAGGATCACGTGTTGACACTCCTTAGTTATCGAACAGACCACGTGTGCTTCCAGAATCTCCGCTGCTTCTTCGACGATGACTGCATGGAAAAGTGAGTTTCTTGGTGTTGGAGTTTGTCATGTTCAATTATAAATCAAATTTTACCAATGGGAGCGCTGAGGGTGCGCAAGGATTCTTGTAGTTTGGCAGCGCAGGACGTGGTCAAACCGATGACATCGTGTTCTTTCAGCACTTCCAAATTAGCGCACTCCCTGTACTTATTGAGTTGCGATTTCTTCTGACGACACTGCTCCTCTAATTGAAGTACTTTCTTCTCCAGGTATTCGTAGCTGAACTTAACTCTTTCCCAATACTTCTCCCAGTGATCGTACCTCGAGGGTTGGCGGGAATCATTCAACAGCGGGTGGTTATTAAACTCCTCCTGCAACAACCAATGAACCATGTTGTAACGCACATCGACATCGATTGATAATATGCACAGGTATATTCCTCACCTTTAACATAAATTTTGTATCCGTCAATATTTCAAGGTGGTACTGCAACACTCCAACTTCATTGTACACGAAATAATCCAGGTCATAGGCCTCGGATGCCACGAGAGTGTCGATTCTGTCCCGAAGAAACCTTATCTGAATATCGAGCAATCCCATGACGTTCGTCGACTCGACGTGATAAAAATTGATCTTCTCGTAATCAAAGGCGATGTCGTCGTCGGTGTAGGCGTTCAGTTCCTCGTCCAGATCCCTCTCGACCAAGTAATCGTAAAAGTCGTCACCGGTTTCTTGTTGGTTATCGTACGCGAGATCGTTTTGTATGCTGTTGCCCAAGTTGATGTCGAACCCGGTCAACTCGTATATGAGTTCGGCGTCGGAGCCACCGCACTTACCCGTCGGGAAGAGACAGGCCAGGGGCACGATGATATTCGGGGTGGTCAGGTATTTCAGCAGCAGCCGGTACCTCTTTATCTCAGCCAGGATTTCTTCGAATTCCTTCTTGACGGTGAACATGGCCTTGCCGAAACTGCTCTTGATGCCCAAAGCCTCGCGCCTCTTCATCAGCGTGTAATTCACCAGGATCTCGCTCTTCGACCGGCTCCCCGCGCGTACCACGCTGTTGGTGTACTTGAGTATTTCCTCCAAAAACTGGTCCAGGGCGTGGTTGGTCAGGCAAACGACCACAATGGGCCCGTGTTCCCTCCAATTGTCTTTGTTTTCCAGCAAAACGCGGACTATCTGCAAAGCCAAAAACGTTTTCCCAGTGCCGGGGGGACCCTGTACAATCGCAAATTCCTGGGTTATGGCGCTCTTGAACGCTTTATACTGCGACTCGTCCATATCCAATTGTTTGGCGGTCGGCCAGGCTCCACCGGCCGGTCCGACCGGCAACTTGTGGCTCTCTTTGTAGGTTAGGGTCACTCCGTACCGCATCAGGTAGCGAGGGAGCTCGGGCTTGATTTGCGCCCTGATCAGGTAATCCTCCATGGGAAACGTCTCGTCGCGTATGTTCTGCATGGCAGTGAGCACTTGGAAGTACGGCTCGAAGAATATCTTCGACTCCAGGACGACAAAGGTCGACTTGAGGAGGTCTGGCGTGATTTTGGAACCGTGGCAGGGCTCGATGAGGATGTGACCCCGGGAAAGCATACCTAGATCGCAGCCCGTCACCGTGGCAAAGAGGACCGTCTGGAAGTTGTCTCGACTGAGCAACAGGAGACTTCCGAACATGAACCGTTTCGAGTTGCTCCAGTCCACGTTCTTGATGTTGCCGAAGGCGAGCTTGTTGCCAATGTGGTTGTTTCTTATGTCCAGGGACATCAGTTTGGCCTGCCGGTAAATCCGCAGGTCGCTGTTTCGGTGGCCCCCGTTCGCGTTTTTGTTCAAGTACTCGTACAGGCCGTTGCGAAGTGGTATGAGGAAGTCCTCGCGCAGCAGCCGGAACTGAACGTCCAGGTAATGCTCGATCGAGTCGTAGGCGTCTTTGGTCATGCACGCACGGAAGAAGGGATTCTCGTCATGGAGGTCGTCCAGAGTCGGTACGACGCTCAGCATCCGAAAGTTCTCGGGTGGCTTGTCCTCCTCTACCACCAGCCTCGAGCTGGACGTGCCCTTGGTGGACTTCGATCCTCGGATCTTTTGCATTTCCTGGTCCAAGTGTTTCACAACGTTCGACGACTTTTCCTTGATTTTCGGGTCGATTTTGTAGCTTTGGCTCGCTTCCAAGATCTTCATGACCTGGACGGCCCGCTGAGCGATGGGGATCAATTTGTTACACGCCATGCGAGGTATGAGCTCGATTGTTTTCGCGAACAAATCACTGACGTTGTTCCAGAACCTGAAAATATCATTATTGCATTACTTTCTTGGCATGATTTTCACCTGATTTCCACTTTACTGTAAACTGACAGCCACTTGGTGAAATTGTCTATCATATAATATATATATGACGCTAATATATTTTCAGATTTTAGGTAATTTTTAAACGTGCGCAAACAAACCTATCCTTGTTCTTGTGGTAGACCACGTTGTTGATTTTGTCCCCAGGGGTCTCGCAAGATAGTTTCATCAAAAAGTTCTCCAAATTTTTCAAAAAGTTGTCCGAGCACACTTGGCTCAATACGCGCGTGATGATTTCCGTGAAATTGGCTCGGCAGACTCTCGTCAGAATTTCCATCGTTAGCACGAGAGTGTCCGAGCTCATGTCGTTGTTGATCAATTTCTCGAATTCGGCTTCCTTTTGAACTACCACCGACATAATTTCGTCGCTGCTCAGTGACATCAACTCCAGCAAACGGGTGAGTTGAAAAAATGATCTGTCCTTTGAGCTTTTTTGCAGGGCCCGACTGTAATTTGGATGGAACTTTTGCGTGCTGTGGGAGACGAATCGTACGAATTTATGCCTGACATCATCAAATAATCTTTGTGTTTGTATAGTGTTATTTTTGTGTTTATAATTTGTTAATAAGTTGAAAGAAATGGACTGATATCTTTTACATGTGCCACGGCAAACATTTATTAAATAAAATAAAATTTGATTTTTAATATCATCAACAAAATGTATGAAAAGTTTGACAGTTTCTTGGAAATTTGAAAACTTTTTTAAACTCATATTCAACACCTAGTTGTAGAATTACGTTTCATTTTTACAGTAGAAACAACTTTTTTTTTTTTGTTACAAAATTTGTGCTTTTTATCAATCTTTTATGACGTCGTTATGTATAATTGCCAATGACGTATATTATCCTGAGATATTTAAATTGAAAATAAAATTCTTACAAATAAATAATACTAAGACAAAGACGTAGAAGAAAATACAACACTTTTGCAGTTATAAGTATTATTTTACCAAAACAAAAGAAAAAATCTTACTTGTTCACATTAAATTTCCTTTGCTGGTTGTTACTTGTTACTGTATCGCGCGTCAACATCGTTTTCTTGTTATCTCTCAAAATTTCTTTCTCCACATCTCTCCAATCATTATGACCCAGCATTTCTAAAGAAAAAGTAAAAAACGTTTTTTTTAACAACTTCCAATGCCGACTAAAGTTCTACAAAAATAAATAAAAAATCGGTTCTAACGTTACATCGATTTATAAAGATTAATTGATACTTATGCACAAATTGCTCTACACTCGAGGAAAAAAATTTGTCCACCGTATAAATAAAAGCGCTTACTAAGCTATCGAGTGGCTGGTATGCGATAGTATAGTATTACACACGAAGGTTGACGAAAACATGATACATGATGTATATGACACAATTGTACCTCGGCTCGCTTGTCTGTAAGTATTATGCGCATTTTTGCCAACAGTGCAATTACAAAGGGGCGGAGGGGGGTACAAATCAAACAAGGTATTCGTCGAATAAAAGTTAGAAAGAAAGTTTTCATTGTTTTATTTATAGTGACATGTAAAAGCAATTGTAACGATTCTATAAACTGAAAAAAAAATTTCCTAAAATCAAGAAAGTATTTACCGTAGAATGGTTCGAAAAAAAAAACAATTTCTTAAAATATGAGACAACATTTTGTTACATTACAGGAATTTTTATTTGCAGCTGTTTCGGTAAATTAATATTTTCATGACACTAAGAAACTGTTTTTTCTTCAGAGTCCAAATAAGCAGTTTAACTCCGCGCTGTCGAACACTTTTTTTTACCTTAAAGTGGACTAAACTCGACCGACTTTAAATTATCCTAGGTCTATTTGTGCCAAAGGCCAAGCAATGATTTTTCGGTACTTTTGTTTTGTTCTTCACTTTCGCGTGTCGTTGGATTCACGTACATTGTGACGTTATTGTCGGAAAAACAACAGAGTTTAAATAATCGATAAAACAAGACCAAAAAATTTTCGGCTCGAGGAATATTTATTTTACTGAAAAAGATACGACGTAAACTTTCCCATGGGATTTCCGTATTGCACATTACACATACGCGCACCCATCAGTTTATCAAACGCGATACATCGGTACAGTACAACAGTGCCATTTTTTTGAGGTTGTAAGCTTTTGGTTTTTGTACGGTTTTCTTGAAATCTAGAAAAATTTAATCGTACAGAATTATATTGACATCAATCATCCAACTCAAAGTGTAAAAGGTAAATAATTCACACAACCTACACAGTATGCAGTTGAACTATTGACAAACAAAATGGACAATAGTCCCTTGCAGCTTGACTTGGAAATGACAAAAAAAAAAAAAAAAAAAAAAAAAAAAAGTAAACATTTGACCTCACAAACAAAAAGTAAAGTCGCAGAAAAGTGTTTTGCACGTACGTTTGCTCGATTTGTCCTTAGATCTTGGTGTGCCCATGTCGATCGATGCCCCCGTCAAGGGTCCAAGTAAGCGAGGCAGGCGCGAAGACGGCAAATCGACGACTACTTTTACTGCGGACAATCGCGAGTCGGTTGTTGTCAGGTACTTTTCACTGAAGAAAAAGAAAGATAGAAAAAAAAAAAAACAATAGAGAGAGAAAAGGTTGACGTCAGCAACTTTGAAATACAGCGGCGAGTAAGTGAGAGGGGGGAAGCCGAACCGAGGAATAACAAAAGACGGACGGGAAAATGTATAATATATGAAGGTTATTGAGTATCGTAAGGACACAATACGAGATTATTTAGAATCGCTTTTAAAACGATTTGCGATACATTTTTTTCCCCTCACTGTTCCCATTACCAATGCTCTTCGTCAAAAAATTCAAAAATACTTATATATTTTTCTATAGAACAAACATAAAAATTTAGATGTGATTTCGTCGAGTGCTTTGACCTTTTTTACTTCTTTCAAAAGATATATTTTTGCTTGAAAATAACATTTGTTTAGTACACCGAGAAAAGAAAATGTTTTTTTTGGGTGTCAAAATTTCATAAAAAAAATTTTTTTTTTTTACTATAGGTCATTTGAAAAAGTATTTACACCTATAGTTAAAATGTTTGTGCTTTAATGCAAGAAATACTCGCAATGTATATAAATGTATATAATATAGCCTAGAACAGCTTATCGGAGAAGTGAACGACAAAAGACCATTTCTGTGAATGGTGATTCGAAAAATTGTGATAACTGAGATTCTACGAAAATAAACGTGATAAAAATCAATGGCAATATATGAACGGCTAAAATTTTTTTTTCCTACTTTTTAACTGCAAGTTTAATCGATTAAAAAATAATTAGCGATTTTATTTATATGATTAACAAATAAATATTGCGAAAGTAAGTTGATGCGTTTTTTAGTTCCTAAGTAGAGAGGATAAAATTTTGTATTTATTATCTACTTACGTGTCAGTTCAGGTAATACAAGTACAGAAAATTCACGAAGCGCATTTATGCTCACGTACATGGACGTTGTTGGAAACAAGCAAAAAACGATGTTTTCAAATGGCACTCATACGTAGAACGTATATTATGCTGAAATCGCCGCATTGTTTCGTAACATCAAATTTCGATACGAGAAAATTTTATGTATGGATAAAGATTTTCAAATAGCAGGCGCGTTAAATTTTTTTTTTTTTTTTTGCATATTTTTCATTCGAGTGACGAAAAATGGCGTGCTTCAATTAGGCATTCCTTGATGATTACACAATTATAAGGGACGGTGTGAAGGAAAATCTTAAAAATACTGATACCATATTATTGATGTTAAAGAGTCCCAATGATGTTGGATCTATCAAGAAATCAGCGTAGTGTATGTATGTAAAACATGAACAATCTTCCAAGCTGTTAAAAAGGACGAAAATAGTAGAGAGGGAATTTAATGAGCTTGTATTCCGGGGATCCCGCTATAACGTGCGCGACAGTATCATTAATGTCCTTCCGAATGGATAGTACATTACGCCACTAGAGCGCAAAGTGTCACTTCCGGGCAGAAAAGTACTTTTCTGCCCACGGGCCCAAAGTAGTCGAAGGGCGCAAAGTTCGCCCAAGGGTGCAAAGGCTTGCGCTCGAGTAGCGTATATTATTTTTCTCCTTAAGGGTGCAAAGTGAGGTTATCAACTCTACATGTTTTATAAAAAAATTAATTAAAGTTTATAAACCTCAAATTAGTATGCAAGCATTGTCATATATATGCTAACTCCAGTAGATATATGTTGTAAGGCTGCGTACAGACGCAACGCCAATACTTTTTACAATCCATTTGAATGCGCGAGTGCGAGAGAGAGAGGGCGAAGAGATGACGGATCGCTCACCCTCTCTCTCGCACCCGTGCAATCAAATAGATTAATGCGTGCAGATTGATATTGCCGTTGTGTCTAAACGCAGCCTAGGCTGCCGATATTCCTGCTTTGCGTTATGTCCATTGCCAAAAACCATGCTTTTTTTAGAGTCCATAGTATAAAATTTACGATCTGCCTGCCAATGTAGTGGTATGTATGTGTATACTGGCACTAGTAGTATTAAATGGTCTTCAGTCTCGACGGTAACAGAGTTACTAATATTCGATATTGAGTTGATATATGTGCATACATTTTTTTTCAAATATAAGTGTGCTGACTTCAAAGATGGTAGCATTAAATTGCTTTTAACTAAGGGGAATAAAGGTATGTTTCGTGAGACAGGTCGTGCGGGGTCCAGGGGCGGCAGCCCCTGGTAGGGGTACAGCCCCCGGTTGGGGGGAGTGCGGGGGGGCGAAGCCCCCCCGACTACAAAACATAAATTGTTCGTTCTTAAAAAAAAAATCCATTTTTATTCTTCAAAAATTGTACATAAATATGATTTCATTCAAATTTGATAATTTAATTTTAAAAACTCATTATAGAATTAAAATAATTCAAAATTATACTATTTCACATTATTATATAACTTTGAAAAACTCATACTTATATGTTTTGCACACTATTTTCATGTATTGAAATGAAATTTGATTTTTGGCACTTCAAATAATGTGAAAAAAACCCATTTTATGCACACTAGTATAGAAAAATTATGAATTATGGTGTACAAAGAATTGTGATTACTTTGCGCCCGGTGGGCAGAAAAGTTCCACTTTGGGCCCATGACGCATGCACGAAAAGTACTTTGGGCCCTCACTTTGCGCCCGATAGGGAGAAATGGTAGTTTTCCTACGAGTTTGAAAAGTCTCTGTTTGCGAACCGAGAGATTTGCGGCCTGAGCCGAAGGCGAGGTCTGCAACGAGGTTCGTAAAGGAGACTTTTCGAACGAGTTCCGGAAAACTGCTTTTTCGCCCGAGGAAGTACCAGCCTTCCAAAACCACTCGAGGGCGGAAAAATAAATATTTTTGACGTGATGTAAAAGTATTCTGGGAACAATAATTGAATGAATAATAGTTTGCTATGAAATTTTATTGTCATGCGAAAAATTTTCGTATAAAAATAGCGCGTTCAACATAACTGGTTTGATTCGAAAATAAATGTTACGTTACTATTTTTACTCGTACGTTACACTTAGGACCCCCTTGCTTGATGTTCATAAAAATATTCATGTGGCTCATTGCATTAACGCGAATATCGTACTTATATAAAGATTTTAGTCTCAAGTTTTCGTATTCATAGAACAAAATTGCTTATCACTGAAGACAAAAAATATATATATATACCTACTGACAGTGATCGGAGGAAAAAAAACATGTGAGATTTTTAGAAGTAAAAGAAAATCCATTTATTGAGCAAAACTTCGTTCGATACAAGCTTAACATTCACATAAGATGTTCACAATTACAATATAACTTTTGAAAAATACCCAAGCTATGCAATTTTTTCTTAAAATAGTTGGTATCATGGATGTTTTGATAAATTTATTATAAAATAAAAAAAGTGATTATTATACTGTTCCTGGCCAAGCAGGAGCTGTAGCCCCATCGATTTCCGTCGCCAGCGCGTTACCCGTTACAATTCGATGTTGTCCCCCACCAACAGTTGCCCCGCATTCGATGCATCTTCCACGTTGCATTGCTCCCCCGCACTCGCCAATCGCGTAAAAATGCCCATTGGGACACTTGAACCAGTGACCCTTTGAAAGACCTATGGCTTTCACAATAGTCTCTCGTACGATCAACGTATTTCTTTCGCTGAGTTTTTTCAATTCATGAGAGTTTTCGATAACTTCCGTTTCCACCTGTTGGGAAAATTGTTCGATGCCAGCCATTTTATTAATGAAATCGTTGTATTCTTTTTCATCAATCAACAGATTGGCTTTGCTGAAAGTACTTTGGAATTTCACCTGTAAAAAGTAAAATAGCGGTGAGATAAAATTTACGAAGCAGCTTCGGGAAATTGATGCATTAAACTATATACCATTATCTGCAGGCGTCTCAGTTCCAGTTGAATGTCCTCCAGCCTCTGTTTGGATATTTGCAGCGTTTTTGGTACGCTGCCCGTCAAAAATTCAACTTGTTTTTGAATAAAGTTGTACGTGTGAGGTTTTTCGAGTAACCTCAAGGTGTGCGTTATCTCGATCGATATGTCGAAAATGTTTTTGAAGGCATTGATCTCGTAAAAGCTTAAAATTTGCTGTCTACGTTTGTTCACCTCTTTCCCTTGCGTTTCCAAACGCTGAAAAACGTTTTTCAGTTTTGGAAATGCTGAAAAACAAAATTTAACGTTCCTCAGCCTGTAAAAAAATTCGCAAATGAATAAAACGACCGTATACAGTACCATTGACAATGGGATCGCCGATCATGTGCTTGGCCAAGAAGAAGCATTCCTTTCGCTTTTTTTCCAAGTCCCTCCTGTTTTGGAAGAAGATTTTCGTCTTCACCGCCATCAGATTGGCCAAATCCTCCTTTATCTGATTCATGACTCTCATGCAACTTTTGATCGGCGTCTTGCACTTTGGACAACACTTCACCTGGATCGACTGACCTGGCGCGCTCAGCGTTGTTATCCACTGCAAGAGTCCCTCGCTCTCTATACAGTGCCGACAATCCGGCAACAGGACGAATCTGCGCAGGTTCATCGTATAATTAAACAAGAATCACAACGGCAATCATACAAATGCATACCTGGCATTGTCGTCATCTTCGTTGCCAAACAGTATTTCCGTCAGTTGGTCTTTGTTGCAAATTCGGCAGAGGATGGGACAAGGTTCGCCGCAAAAACCAACGCACGCGTGTCCGCACCGCAAAATCCTGTCGCAGGGCTCAGTGCACGGCTTTATGTTGCACGGCTCGTTGCAACGTCTCGTGCACCTGCGGTGTTTGCATCTGTAGCCGCACCACTCCTATGCAAAAAAGAGAGTATTTTTCATATACGTTGATCTATAACTGTACAATATAGAGGTACGGGCTTACTTTGCAAGATACGCAAGGTTGGCCGCATTTTTTGTTGCACTTGCTGTGTTGGCATTTCAATTCGCACTTTTTGATGCACGGCAAACACTCCTCGTTGCAGGGTGTCTCGCATCTGAAATCGCAAAAATGATATCAGTTCTGTAAACTCTTTTTTTTTTTCTTTCTTTCAAAATTTCACTTGAAAAAAAAAAAAAAAATATGGACTACTTGTGTCCACAAATGAATATGGTTCGGCAGGGCTCTTTGCAAAGAATATGCATTCGTCCTTGGTGGCAAGATCCGCAGTTGCCGGTACATCTGTGACCACACGCCAGTTCGACATCGCACGGAGTTTGGCAGTATTTCAATATTTCCGGAGAGCTCGTGTCTATCAATCGAAAGAATTAAAATTTAATGCGTAGCAATATTTTTTTTCTTTTCAAATACCCAGTGTGTCTTTACCTGAGTTTTGTAAGTAACAAGGAACTGAAAAGACGTGACCGCAACGCGCCGGTTCTTTCAACTCGATCATTACTTTGCAGGCTACGGTGCATTGATCCTTACACTTTTCGGTACAAGGATGAAGGCACGGCAACACCTTGGGACACTTTCCGTGACATTTCGACGGCATCGCTTCCTCGCAGCACTTCACTGTAATGGCGTGTCCGCAGGTACTTTGTTTCTCCATCTGCAAGTTGGTTATTGTTAAAGATTTTATACTGAATGAGATTTTTTTTTTTTTTTTTTTTAAACACCCTTTTTCCGGACAATTCTTGCACTCCTCGAAACACCTCAGTTTACAAAAGTGGCCACAGCTCATCTTGCGCTTACAACTTCTGTGGCACGGGAAGTCCTCGATTTTTACCGAGCACCAGAATTTCGGGTACTGATGACCGCACGAGCGGACCTTTCTCACGAGGATCTTGCACGGCTCGCAATCCTGGAAGCACCGCTTCGGGCACGCGTGATTATTTTCGCAGCCCTTGTTGGTTTTGGCGCACTCCTTGATACATTTGTACTGAAAAGAGAAAAAGGAAAAAAAAAAAAAGAATTTTCTAATCGGTTGTAAAAATAATACTGTAGCGATGATTGATCTCGTAAGTGTACCAAAAGGTGGTCGGGATCCGTGCGCATGTGGCATTTTCCCTCGCACGCGTGTCCACAGGGTAAACGGATTTCGCAAGCGCTCGTACACTTGCAATCCTCGATTCGTTGGTGGCACTCTTTTTCCACGACGTGATCGCAATCTGCCAGGGTCACCTTTACCTACCGAGAGAAACAAAAAACATGGTTATAGCCTCCATTGACAAATGCGTTTTCTCAAAGGCGATTGTACGTACTTTTACGGGGCACTCAAAAAACTCCGGATCCATGAAGCAAGGCACGTCCACGGTGTGGCCGCACTTGAGCTCCCGTTCCATCGGTACTCGGCACTCGGGACAAGCTTGGAAGCATTTCATCAGACACGGATGCTTGTTGGGGCAGCTTCTGGGGCACGTCTGTTTGCAACGATAATCCTTGTGCTCACGGTCCATGGTGTGGCAAACCGAGGTGCAACGATGCCCGCACTGCAACAAGGAGTCGCACTTCCTCGAACAACCCCCTTCGGGACACTTTTTGAAATCGTCCGCCGTTTTCATCTATACATTTGAGAAACATTTTCCAATTTTTAGTACTCGCTTGTAAGGGTCGAGCGATTTTTTATAAATTTTTTATAAATTTTTATAATCACGATGGATCACCTCGAAAGTTTCGTCAGGGTGCATTTGGCACTTTAATCGCAAGACGTCACCTATGGACTCGTCCTCCTCCAACACTCGGTTTATCTTTGGCCAAATGTTGTTTTTGACAACGAGATCCCTCATGTTGCCCATGACATAGAGACCATACTTGGCACGTGATAAAGCGACGCAAACCCTATTCTCCTCCTTCAAAAAGCCAACGTTTCCCGCTCCGTTGTTGCGCACCAAGGACAACAGGATGATCTTGTTCTCCTCCCCTTGATAATCGTCCACAGTCGTTACGCGCACGTCCTTGAGTAAAGCGTGGTTACGGATTTCCTGAAAAAAACAAAAACGAACTGTATCCCGGTACAAGTGAAATTACGAAAAAACGACGTACATTCATGAAAGTGAACAGTTGCCCGGAGTACGTGCAAAGAATCGTGATGTCCAAGGGCACGTAACCCTGGAACAGCAAGTGTTTGGCGAGCGCGAGGAAAAACTTCACTTCGTGCTCGTTTTTCCAGCTTTCCTCGTCGCGGTAAGGCTGCTCGCGCTTCTCGTGGTTCAAGAAGAAAAGGCTCTTCTCCACGCCCTTGACACTCGGAAAATCCCGAACCACTTCGTGGTTGTACAGCGTCGTGTATATCGACGGGGTGATCAGCTTCGAGATTTCCGGTCGCATTCGGTGCTGGTAGGCCAACTGCAGACACTCGCCTCTGATGTTGACCATACGCTCGAACAACGACACGTTCAGGTTGTATCTGATGCCCAGTTCGTACACGGAGGCCTTGGGACGAAGCTGCTTGTGGTCGCCGATCAAAATAACGTGTTGACACTCCTTGGTTATCGAGCTAACGATGTGAGCCTCTAAGATTTCCGCGGCCTCTTCCACCAGTACTGAGTCCAAAAATCAAATTATTTAACGTAAATCATGTATAAATTTTTGTACGCTGTATTGTTACATCATACTTATTGGTACGCTCAGAGCACGCAGGGACGCTTGGATCCGGGCGGCACAGGTGGTGGTCAGACCGACTATTTTGTGCCTTTGTAAAATTTCCAAATTCGCCAATTGCTTGTACTGCTCGAGCTGTACTTTCATTCTCCGGCATTTTGCTTCGGATTCCACGATCTGATCGTTTATGAATGTGACGGTCGAGTCCACCCACCTCCAATAAGCTTTCCAGCGCGGATCGTTGGATTCTATGCGCACTGAGCTCAGGATCGGATGAAAACTCAGCTCTCTCTGGATTAAACTCTCTTTGTAACATATACATTTTTTTGCAAATCAGCCAGATACCAGTGAAACTTACCGCTATGCGAAGTCTTTGTTCCTTCAAAGCATCGAGTTCGCTGTTCAATTCTTCGAGCTCGTTGCTGAACGGCAAAAAGCTGAAAAGGTTGTTCTGCAGCCTCCAAATTACTGTTTGTATCGAATGAATTTTCTGATCAATCACATCCAAAGGATACGTCGGGTTCAAGTGAAAGAAGCGCTTTATGCCAATGTTTTCGAAGATAATGTCGTTGTCGGTGTACATGTTGGCGTCTTCCTCTTCGTCGGGGTCTGCCTCTTCGGGAGCTTCAACCTCCAGGTGATTGAGACTCGTGTGCTCGTTGGGGTTGGCTTCGTCATTGACGTTGATCCCGGTCAGCCAGTACACCAGTTCTTTGTCGGACGTGAATTGGCTCGAAGGGTACTCGTTGAAGAGACACTTCAAGGGTACTATGATGTTCGGGGTTGTCAGGTGTTTCTTGAACAACCGGTACTTCCTTATGTCCGACAGGGTGTGCTCGATATCCTCTTTGGTGTGGAACATCATCGCCCCGCCGCGGATCTTGATGCCCAAAGCCTCGCGTCTCTTCATCAGCGTAAAGTTCTTCAGCACTTCGCTCTTGGACCTACTTCCTATGCGCACCACCGAAGTCGTGTACTGGAGGATGTACTCGAGAAACTGGTCCAGGGCGTGGTTGGTCAGGCAAACGACCACAATGGGCCCGTGTTTCCTCCAATTGTCCTCGTTCTCCAGCAAAACGCGGATTATCTGCGTTGCCAGGAAGGTCTTTCCCGTGCCCGGGGGACCCTGTACAATCGCAAATTCCTGGGTTATGGCGCTCTTGAACGCTTTATACTGCGACTCGTCCATATCCAATTGTTTGGCGGTCGGCCATGGCTCGTCGGGTCCGACGGGCAGACGGTGATCTTTGAATCTCAACACCGGCTGATGCTGGAGGTAAGCCGGGACCTGGACGTTAACTTCGGCTCTGATCAGGTAAGCCTCCATCGGAAAGTTTTCGGCGCTTATGTTCTGCATGGCGGTGAGCACTTGGAAGTACGGCTCGAAGAATATCTTCGACTCCAGGACAACAAAGTCGAACTGGTACAGATCGGCGGTGATTGCCGAACCGGCGCAGGGTTCGATTAAAATGTAGCCGTTGGCGATGTACTTTTTGTCGCACCCCGAGACCGTGGCGAAGAGGACCGTCCGAAAGTTGTCTCGACTGAGCAGCAGGAGGCTTCCGTACATGAAGCGCTTCGAGCTGTGCCAGGTCGCGGTTTTGGACTTGCCGAACGACAGTTTGTTGCCGATGTTGTTTTCGCTCGATTCCAGCGAGAACAATCTCACGTGTCTGTAAATGCGAAAGTCCCCGTTTTTGTACCTCTGGTTTCCGCTCAGGTATTCCTTCAAGCCGCTGCGCAGGGGCATCAAGAAATCCTCGCGCAACAAGCGAAACTGGACGTCCAAGTAGTGCTCCACGGAGTCGTAGGCGTCCTTTACCTTGCACGCCCTGAAAAACGGATGCTCGTCGTATAAATCCTCGAGCCTCGGTATGACGTTCAACGCGCGATAGTTTTCCGGTGGTTGTCCCTCCAGCTGAATGATTTCGTGCCTCAAAACTGACGAATCCTTCACGTTTTTCTCCTCGATTTTTCGTATCTCCTCTTCCAACTCTTTGAGAAGATCTTCAAAGGCGACCTTGACTTTGTCATCGATCTTGTACGTCTGGTTCGTATCGATGTTTCTTAAAATCATGTTGACTTTTTGCAAAAGTGGAAGTAGCTTGTTGCAAGCCGTACGTGGCAGCAGCTCGATGATTCTCTTGAACAAGTTGTTGAGGTTCTCCCAAAATCTGAATTATTGTGCACGGTTTTACATAAATGTTTTTATTTTTCGAAAGTCATCCGGTTGCTACGTGCCAGACGATAATCACCTAATATTCACCCGATTTTCTCATAAATTATCACCTGATTTTCACCCGATGTGTTATTGGTGATTGAAGCTCACTCAACAGAGTTTACCCGATATTCACTTGATATTCAGCTGATGTTTACCTGATATATATATGTCATCATTTGAATCAGCTGGTTGTCATCAATCACACATCAGGTGATGATCACGAGAAAATCGGGTGAATATCTGGCGAAAATGTCCGGTGATTGTCATCTGACGCTCGGCAGCCGAGTATATAGACACGATATATTGTTCGAGCAAACCTATTTTTGTCATCGTGATAAAGCATGTTGGTCTTCCGTTCGGCGGGACCTTCGAGCGGTAGTTTGGACAAGTAATTCTCCAAAGTCTTGAGGAAGCTGTCCGAGCAAGCTTGGCTCAAGATTCGAGCGATGATTTCGACAAAGTTTGCGTTGCAAATTGCTGTTAAAACGTTGAGCACGAGTACGAGAGCATCGGGACTCATTTCGTGGCTGATCAGTTTTTGAAATTCGCTTTCCTTCTCCGCAATCACTGTCATTACGTCGTTGCTGCTTGTCATTGAGCTTAAATTCTTCAAACGGGAGTAACCGAAATAGGACTGGTAGTGCGTCGTCCTGGGATCATGTTTGTCTCTTTGATTAATCGGCCTGCTGCGAACAATATATACAAGTATTTATAATGGTAGTATCTGCTAAAATGTATATTTCATTCGAATTTTTTCCACTCATTTTCCATATAAAATGTAGATCGTAAAATTAAGCATCTGCTAAATACATCATTTAATTAATATTTATACTTGTTTTGACTTGGTTTCTTGGTTCTGGGCCCTGCTCCAAGTTCATTTCCGGGCCTTTGAGCACTGCGTGTCCTCCAATTTCTAACGTCTGTTCCTAACGAATAAAACACTTATAAAAAAAATAACGTTTTTAGGAGGAATATAAGGTGCCATTTCAGCCTGACGTGATAAATGGTAATTGAAAGGGCATAATCTCAATTTTTATTGGCCAATTTAATTTACCGTTTGATTGGCTAATAAATAAGGAGAAATTTTCGTGAAACTTAAAATGTTAATAGCGCTCAGTCGAATTGGCACCTTTTTTAACGCTAAGTCGGATGATATTGACACCTTATATATTTGTATTTTATATGAAATAATGAAATGAAGAATCAATTTTTAACTCCAGTGGTGTGAATTCAAAAATAATTAGTTGGAATGGAAAAAAAAATTAATTTCAATTTCTACTTTGAAAGCTCTAACTTTCACTCATAGATTGACCACATTTTTTTATTGGTTGCATTTCGTCTGAAATTTATCGGCGTACATGGGGCGTAAGTAAGTATATCTTTATTTTTGCCCGTATTCTTTCACTCAAACGAAGGATGCGTGTTTTTTTTCAGTAGTTCGGGGAAATCGGTAAGTCCCTAATCCAAGTATATATCTGTACGCATATGTTTCATGCACATATATTTCATGTAACAGGAACGGAGGAATGGACCGATAAAATGACCGCAAAATCATCCATATGTTAATTTTCTTTTAATATCTTGGCAACGGAGACTTTTCCTAATAAATATCACGGTTTAACGTTCTGATTTGACTTTCAGCACTGTAGGTATTAGTACCGAGGAAAACTTTTTTATTTCTTTAACGCATAATATTTTACCTATATCGTTAGATAAAACTTTGACGCTTTCGATCAATTATAATGGGCCATTGATTAATTGCAATAACCCAAGCAAGCACTATTTACCTATGTTGATAAATATACATTGACAGTTCAAACAACGTATAGCGTTGTTGTATATAATAAGCGCACAACAGCAACCAGCCATCTTTTCTTTCGCGAATTAAAAAAAAAAAAAAAAAAAAGTTCCATAATCATTACATAGAACCGAAATCACCGATACGTGGTAAAATTTATTAAAAATTTGTACATCAGATTCGCGTACTCCACGCCGAAAGTTCAACTTTAAGGATGTAATACGATGTGTGTACGAATGTACGTTACAACGGCAATTAAACACCGGTCAATGAAATAAAACAAAGAAAGAAATAACCGGCGTATTGTGAATAGTGACCACTCCTATGCAACGTAGTAGGTGTACACTTACGCGGAAGGATATATTTTTTTGTAAGTACGTACTTTTTCTGGTCGCTCCTCTGCCCGCTGCACCTTGATTTTGCATCTTTATCGCGGATTTCAATGGACCCCCGGTACAGTGACTAAGTAGGTGTACCTACGGTGAAATGAACGGGATCGAAGTTAAGGACAGACTGTTGCCAACTTGTTGCTTTTCTCGCTGACTCAACTCCTTTGTTTTTTCTACCATACACACAAATGTACATTGTATATAGGTATATGTGTAATTTTTGTGTCATAGACATGCGCACTAATAAATACTTATGCAAAGGATACGTCGCAACCTTTGTTATGCGATATTACGTATTATTCATACATTTTTCGTAGGTATCGGTACACTACCGATAGATATAAAGGAATGACCGTAACATTTATGATAAGATTAGACATGTATTAGACCTACCTATACTTACGTGTCATGATGAATTGTTCGCTTAGAGAACTAAGATTGTTCGCCGTGCCTTATCGTGTTTCTCGAAGAGTCGGTCTTTCTTGGAAAAAGGGGCATATACATAACGGGGAGGGATTTTTTTTATTTGGATGCCAGGGACAATATAATTATTACGTTGGAAGTAATAAATAAACTTTTTCAAAAATCGACAACTTATACGAATTATTGCAATAACAACAGGATAAATGAAATGTACCTAACTAACGATTTATCAGTGACTCGGATGGAACTTGCAATTTATTGGTAGTGCAGTAAAAAAACGATAAATCGGTTGTATTACTTGTTTTAAAATATTTTCTATCAGGGTAATTTTATTTATCTGAAAATAATTGTTTGAGCACGAATATAGTATCGTATGGTACATAATATTGTATGGTGCACTAACTGTCAAGTAATTTTTATCCAACAGAGTGTCCCTCCTTATCAAGATGGAAATTAATCAAACATTATCTTTGAATGTACATTTTATAACATGGCTGTAAAAAAAAAGGTATGAATCATTCTACGAATATCGGTATTTTCTCCAAGTCAATTGAAACGCGATGTTTAGAGATTGAAGTTCGAAAAGTTTCGTAAATGATAAAAAGTAATATTTTGCTGTAGTTACGACAAAAATAAAATAACGATAAGCTATTCTTTTTGTTTTAATCGGTAAAAAAAGGCTAAATTGACGATACAAGCTCGTAGTCTATTAAAAACAACTTTGGCTAATCACGGCCCGCCTGGAAGGAAAATACATCTTTTTAATTGTTGGTTACGTACTCCATATAATATTACAGTTATCAGTGGTAGCTGATAACTTTTCTTTCACCCATTCAAGAGAACCAAAATAAAAAATTTGTTGCGATTCGAAAACCTGATGGATCCAATTCATCCGCAAAAATGCTCTCACAAGTATACATACACACGCACTCGTATTGAGAACTGCAATTTGAACGTTTCGTATTACAAGTGAGATTGAGGGTGTTACCAAAATTTGGCAGATTATTTCATGTCTTTCGGCTGTTGCTACAAGCTCGCGAATTCGTAAGATTAGTCTTTCCAAACTGAAACAACTGTAACGCTGAAGAATCTATTGTTGCATCTCTGCGAGGTGCGAGTTCAGTTGTCGGCTCGCTATAGGTGATGGATTAAAATATGGCCGTTAAGTACATGAACGCGAGGGTGAAGTTTAAATGTTCATGTGGTGCGTCACAATATCGAGATTTTTCGACGCATGTGTACGAAAGCTCGTACGTGACGCTTCTTTTTTGCCAAAAGCCCGTAACAACGCTGTTCATTACATTACTGTTGGAAAAATAATTCAGCGGGGCCCAAAAAAAATACAACCTGTTGTAGTTACAGATGATGTCAGAAGTACCTTTATTAGAAAAATTACAAGTGCGTTTTCAGGCTTTGACCATTTGAATCCTAAATATATTATATCCCGTAAATCGTAACAAGACCTAAATATCTAATTCTTGTTTAAATCTATGATGCACATGCAGAGACATATTAAAGATTCACCCAGCAATTCCACACAATTTGTTAGTTATAGCTAATTTCGTTTATCGGCTTTTATTAATAATTTTACATATAATATAATGCCTGTGTGTAAACACTATACTGACAGAGACTCTGATACTGGAGGAAATAAACATTGTGACACCAATTGTCTGTGGTTTCTTCATTCTTGATTACGCTATATATTTTCGCTTCTTATTACGTCCTACGTAACTTAACTGCTAGCATAGCATTGGCGGAATACAGCCTGTGAATTTATCATTCTGGTACTTAAAGAGAGCCGGTGTATGATATACGTGAAGTTATGTGTAGTAATTATAGTAATCGCTTCTAAGTAGTGCCATATGATCGATTTTCAGGTAAAAGATAGATTGTAAACTTGCCGCAAATAGCACAAACTATATCAAATTTTAATTTTTCATCTTTAAAATTAGTTGCGGCTGGTTTATAATTGATTACATGGCTCTACTGTAAGTAGTAATAAATATTTGGATCAGCGCCATCTAGCGTTGCGGATTTCTGAACTAAAAAGTGGCCCTAAACTTTTGACCCACAGCATTAGCGCTTAGAGCCATTTAGCTAATTATAAACCAGCCGCAACTCATTTTGTAGCTATAAAATGAAAAAATAACAATACGTGTGTTTTTGGCGGCAAGTTAACAATTTATTTTTTACCAAAAAATTGACCTTCTATGTAGCTATACTTTTAAAGATAAATTTCCGAGTAAAAATAGATTGTTAACTTGCCGCCAAAAACACATGTACTGTTATTTTTTTATTTTATAGCAACAAAATGAGTTGCGGCTGGTTTATAATTGGCTAAATGGCTCTAAGCGCCAATACTGTGGGTCAAAAGTTTAGGGCTACTTTTTAGTTCAGAAATCCGCAACGCTAGATGGCGCTGATCCAAATAATTATTAAAATAGAGCCGTGTAATCGATTATAAACCAGCCGCAACTAATTTGATAGATAGACAATAAAAAGTTGACATTTACTGTGCTGTTTGCGGCATCTTTACAATCTATCTTTTACCCGATAATCGACCTCCTACATATTTATACTTATGGAGGTAGATTTTGGAGGAAGAGTTTTTATCAAAATGTTATAATGTTAAAATTCGATAATCATTTTAAGTATTTACTAAGTGTAACGTTTAATGTTGATTTTTGTTAATTGAAATACATCAAAAACAAGAAGAGCCATATAATGTCAGAGTTTTTGAACATTTTTATTCAATAAGTATTTTTATAAAAATATAAAATAATCTTTCTATTGCATTTATTTACATAATGCTGTGTACATTACAATCACAGCTACGAAAGGAAATTGAAGTTATAAGACCTATTGCTTAGGAATATTCCAAATTTCGATGCACACTGAGTATCAGACTCAATAACGTAGTTATTACTGTTTGCAACTACAATTGGAATACCACCTGGATGAAAAAAATTGTTATTTTTTAAACATAATATATTAAGCGTGGCATATGGTTTTACAAAATTTACTTACTAAAATCAATTTTGCCCGGTTTGGAAAATAATGTAACCTTTGTGATTTTTTGTACAATTATTTTAACACAGCCAAGTTTGACTAAAATCTGCAAAGTTTTTAAATATTAGAGATGATGAGTTTAATCACATTTGAATACTTTTAACTTGTATGCAAGTAAGCTCGGGGCCTTCTCACTTAGTCATGTGTATAACCTAGACTGGATACACCTGCCTCTTGAGCATCTCCAGATAAATATTTACATGATAAAATATTCGAAACACCATACCTCTATCAATTGTCTAGTGTTATATATACGGTTGCAATGCTGGTGAGAACCGATTTTGTACTCTAGTAAGAGATAAACCTGGCCTGTCTATACAATAGCATCATACTGCTCCAAGCATACGATCCAAAACACGCCTATTCAAAACTCCATCGATTCTTATCCAAGGTTTTATTATCACTTAGATTTCTTCTCTGCTGCTACAAGTAATTAATAAGTTTATCTTGGCCAACAATAAGCATTAAGTATTTTAATGATACAAATGTTTTTTGAAGGTAGATTTTTGAATAAAAGATAGATTGTAAGCTTGCCGCAAATAACACTGACAATGTCAACTTGTTATTTTCTATTTATACGATTAGTTGCGGCTGGTTTATAATTGACTAAATGGCTCTACTATGAGTGTTAGTAATAATTATTTGGAACAGCGCCATCTAGCGTTGGGGATTTTTTAACTAAAAAGTGGCCCTAAACTTTTGGCCCACAGCATTAGCGCTTAGAGCTATTTAGCCAATTATAAACCAGCCGCAACTCAATTGCTAGCTATAAAATAAAAAAATAACGATACATGTGTTTTGGCGGCAAGTTAACAATCTATTTTCTACCAAAAAATTAACCTCATATGTATTATACTTTTGAAGATAAATTTTTGAGTAAAAAATAGATTGTTAATATGCCGCCAAAAACACATGTACTGTTATTTTTTTATTTTATAGCAACAAAATGAGTTGCGGCTGGTTTATAATTGGCTAAATGGCTCTAAGCGCTAATGCTGCGGGTCAAAAGTTTAGGGCCACTTTTTAGTTCAAAAATCCCCAACGCTAGATGGCGCTGATCCATTTAATTATCACTCTATAACTTACAGTAGAGCCATTTAGTCAATTATAAACCAGCCGCAACTAATTGTATAAATAGAAAATAACAAGTTAACATTGTCAGTGCTATTTGCGGCAAGTTTACAATTTGTCTTTTACCATGTGGCATTACCACGACCTACGTAACTTATGTTGTCCAATGAATGCGTAAATATCGAAGTTCACATACTGGTTGCCATCTTAGATCGAAGTTCGGTATAATGTGAACTTCGAAATCGATACAATTCGTTAGGTATTGTTTTTGGCTTACGCAAGGGTGTGTAAACAGAACTGTAAATGATGCCCATAACCATAAAAACGTGTCTTGACAAGCACCGGTACGACAGATACCCTACTTGATATTGAAAAAAAAAGTCTCAATTGAGCTTACAAATCTTGATAGTTTAAGTTTTTTCGACGTGCTAAGTGTCAAGTATGCCTGGTAAAAGTTGATATCCAATTGTATTTAACGGAACAGCTCGAGTCATACTTACTGTTGGTGCCAAAAAAACTAATACAAAAGCAGCATGTTGGACGTCAGAGCTTTCAGAGCGAAGAATAAATCCAAGGAGGAAGAAAAGCTCACGATTTTGACGCAGTGGACCGAGCACAGCATTCAATTTTTCATTATAAGAGAAGATAAGTCTGTTATGGTTGGCGAGGTAAAACTAAGTATTTCTTGTTATTTTGTGTACTATGTTGTACTTTCTCTTGTGTATTTATTCAACATTTTTGAAATTAATCATAATTTTAGATGGCCATGAGTAACCTCAGTTCATACGCGGAATGTTTCAACCAAAGACTAGAAGATTACGTTCATGAAACAAAAGAAATCATGTCAGGTGCTAGGCAAAACATAGACTTTGATTTAAAAGAAAATAAGTTTATGTGGAAGAAAAAGTCGTGGTTGCGTGGAGAAGTAAATGTTCAACAAAGTACTGACAAAGATTACCTTCTAGACGTATTTTTCATTTATATAGACAGTTCGACAGAAGAACGAAAAAAAACATCTGAAGTTGTAAAACGAGTGGCAAGCCTGGAAAAGTTGACAGAAGACCTTAAATACCAATTGAATAAATGCATACTTTTGAAAGAACAAATGGAAACAAGTTTATACATGATGTTTTTGGAAAAAGTTAATAAGATCAAAGTTAAAAATCGAGAACTTAGAATAGAAAATAATCAGTTAAGAAAAATGCTTGGTAAGGGTACAGTCTACGATGTAACTACGGATGAAAGTGATGAAGAGGAAAGCGCAAAAAATCATCTATCTAGTCAGTCTACAGTAGTAAAAAAACCCAGTGAAAAATTATTACGTGATACAATTGTGCGCTCGTCATTTAAACCATCGAAAAAAAAACAAGTAACCAAAATTATAGCAAAAAGTATAACTAATATTGAAGAGGAAGAAATGAAAAATCGTGAAAATGATGAAAAAAACTGTACAGTAGCTGAAGAAATTCAGAAAAATGATATAGTAATAGAGAAGAATGATAACATTAACGTTACTGAATCTACAAAAGACTCACTTAATCGTGATAAATCTGAAAAAGTTAAAGACAGTATAAGTTTTACCAATGAAAGTTATAAAATGGAAATCAGTCAGAATACATGTAATAAAGAAATTGAGAGCATTCAAGAATTGAAAAACACGAATCAAGACGTACATGAAAAAAAATGTCAAGTAGACACTAGTACAATTGCATCAAGCAAAGTCGTGGTATCTGAAATTGGTGAAGATGAAGAAACACCTGATATGCTTTCTGGTGAAAGTGATTGTGAAATGGAACTCAGGTTTGATGATGAAAGAGATGATAAAATGGATGATGAAAACGAAGGAAGCAATAAGAAAAACCATGAAAAACAAGAGCAAAACCATGAAAATAAAGACGAAGGTGTGGATTATGGTAAACTACATGGAGCAGCAAATAATAATAAACAAGAAAAAAGTTTTGATAGCAGTGAAAGGAGTGGTTATAATGAAACAATAAGTGATAAAAAAATTATAGAACAAGATTCCGAAGAAATGGTATTTTAATATTATTGTTTTAAAAATAAGAAATATTTTTATTATTTGTAAAATTCCAAATCATAAAATACTTTACCAATCAGGTGTAAAACTAACTTGTACTAACAGTTTTTTTTTTTTATAAATCTGTACATATGTTATAAAATGTGAAATTTAAATGAAGTTAAATTTTTATTAACATTGCCTATATATTTTATGTACAATTTTTAATAAAAATAGTTTATTTAGACTTAGGTTCCAACGAATTTTCCGTGGATTCCGTTGATACTTCTAAACTATTTTTCAACCGTTTCAAAGCTATTCTTTTAGAGTATCCTGAAAAAAAGCACCAAATAAATAGAAATGTGTATATATTATACATATAAACTACATATGAACCCAAATTAGTTTTGGCAGATGCAACTTACTGATTGCGGGAGTTTCAGTAACAAGTGAAACATTATGCAAGGAGTCCAAACGATCCTCAATCCTTTTTAAAGCTTTAAAATTTTCTATCTGCTCGTCCTTGTAGGAAAAATAATTATAAAGTAGACTGAATATACATACACATATACAAATTTTTCTGACAAACCAAATACTATATATTAAATCTATTTTATCATCGCTCATTATGTCTGGAATGTTGTTGTAATACTGTACTAAGATTCTCTCTATGATTACATTAAAGCTCAGTGTTACAAATAAAACTATGCGTGCATTTGTGGTTTTTTTTGATGCTGTAAACAGCGCAGATACTATGCAGCTGACAGTATAATAAATGATCGACTGAAACCACGAGACTTCACTAATAATCCAATTTTGAAATGTCTTCAAGTAAGCAAATATTTGAAAAAGAAGTTCTTTTTGGTCTTTCACAGATTCTCTGCAAAATGCATTAAACATCAAGGCATTCTATTTATTTTTGTAATAA